TATTAGTTTTGTGGTTGTTTTTTCTTATTTTCTATACTTCTCGGCAATATTAAACTGTCAATCATTGGTTGTGAACGCCATAGTCACCACCTTAAAAAAAAATTTTGTATTATTCAGGATTACTCACACTTCCACTACAAACACTGCATTAGACCTGACAATAAAAACCAAAACAACAACCCTGAAATGTTATTTTATGATTGTTTAGTGTTGTTTCAATCAAATTAACTGACCATCTTGGCGATAAACATTCTTAAATATCATTTCATAACTTCTTGTATGACTACAGCTTTACTGACACCATGCATAATCATATCATAGCTTCCACTACGCAATACTGAGTTATTATTATATGATGTTTATTTTCCTTTCTACTTCTTGGTACTTTTTCGCATTTATAATTATTTTGTGTTAATCCTGTTTTTTGCTGTTGGTGTTTTTAGATTTATTTATTGTTTTCGTTTGTTTAATACTCCTTTTAAATGTTTGTAAAATTAGATGCAAATATTGTAGATATGTGCTGAAAATTCCACACTGTGCCACTAGTACTGTTTCTGGAATAAAGCAAATTATTATTATTATTATCTATTCTCCGACTGTCTGATTTCAACACAGAACTTTGCACAGAAGTGCAGCAGTTCAAGTTACTACACTCCATACAGAGCACACAAAGGAAGACAAAAAAACAGCGAAAAATAAACGATTCAAAAGAACACTAATAAGCAGAAATGTGAGGGAGAACGAATAGTAAGATGGAGAAACAAGAGGGTTTAATTGATATGGGAGATAACAAAGAGTGCCAGCCAGCCATTGAGAACCATTTCGAGACACATGATCAATTATCTCCAGCCAGTGGACTACTTACCATCTCGACGACCTCAACCATGAAGTTTACACCTCCCTACATGACTCAAGGATTTGACAGACTGATGGCCAATACTAGCTCTTTTCCAACCTGATCCTATGTCAGCCAACATTGCCTGTCGAGGAAAGCGATGGCTAGACATGCGTAACACCTGGCCTAACCATATCAATCGATAGAGCACAGATACCTGTGATCAAAGACAGCTAGCCTTTGCATATCTTCCACTTTCAATGGCCATGTCCCACAGCTATATAGGAGGATGGAACGAACTGCTGTCAGTACACAGTCCTTTGACCGATGCCAGTCGACGACCACGTCTACTCTAGAGATGACGTAAGTTTCCAAATGTCACACAAGCCTTTTGTATCTGTGCAGAGATTTCGACAGCAACCAATTCATTAGGGTTGATTCAACTTCCTAAACAAGTGAAGTGGTCAATGCAACCGACCACTTTATTCCCAATCTTTAAACTAGGAGTCAGTGTATTCCACTAGTGTAGCGTCATCTTACTACATTTGACAGAAGCAAATCGCATTTCAAACATTTAGAGATTTCTGCTTCTGATGCTAAGAAGACTCTTCATTTTACCAGAGTCCTTACCAGTGGGGAGCACTACATCATGTGCATATTCTAAGTCAACAAAACTATTTCCTAAATCATCGAGTTAGCTGAGGGTTATTCTCTAGATTACATTACTATTATTACAAACAATGCAGTTAGGAATTGGACTGATTTCAATTGAGACACAAATCAAAGCAGGTGTGCACTGTACAGCAGTACGCTCTGTCTTTCATTATGACAGTGAAACATGGCCGTTGAAAGCAGGAGATAGGAAAGGTTAACCGTCTTTGACCAGTGATGTCTTTTTAAGTGGTATCACATGGTAAGTGATAATAAGGTAAGACGAAGACTGTTAGGTAAGGAATGGAAGCCAATTGGTGAAGTTGCGAAGCTACCCACCAACTTATGGAGTCTTTAAATATTCATTTGAGCTATGTATGGAGATGTAGACTGTCTGATTGATTGGGGAGCACGGCATACTAAGAACCAGTGGCTGAAGGCTGTTGGTGATATGGCTCAAAATCGTTGTCAATGGCTAGCGCAGATGTATTCAGTCTTTGTAATTTTTCTGAACCATTAAGTCCTTCTGGTTTTTCCATGTTACTATTCTCCCTTCCGTACATTTCTGCTCACTATAGTTCTTTTGAATCTTTTCTTTACCTTTGTGTGCCCTGTATAGAGTGTGGCAACTTGATTTGTTGCACTTCTGTGAGAAGTCATATGTCGAGATTCAGTCAGTCACAACACGTTTTCATTAGCTGTTCATATTTCGTGTGACGAAACACAATGACATGCGTTTCATCCCATATCTGTGATTTATCAGTTGGATATACAAAACAATAAAATCATATATCAAGAAATTTTCTAAATGTCTGCATTAGATGCCGATATATCAATAGAGATCGAGAATTTTGGTTCAATATGTATAAGTTAGCAGAAAATTCAAAATAACTTCAACAAATAGAACTGGTACAAGTTTATTTACTAGATTCTGACCTGAACTTGATGATGAATATCCAAATGTCGGTTTGCAGTGATTTGATTAGTTACAGGATTTCATCATGAGCTGACATCGGTTAGAGAACCATTGGAAAACCTGCAGGGAGTACTGAACAGCTGTTTCGTCAGCCTAGCCTGGAACGCTTCAGTGGTACGCACCCACAGCTAGAGTTCGAATCCAGGACCTTCCTAACACAAAGCGAGCTCGTAGACCATTAAGCCACTGGGACCCGACCCAATGATCAGTTCATAAATTTCAGCTTCTGCCAATTCACGATATAGTGTGACAACTAGCCAATGTCATCCACGGGGCGTATATATCCTCACACCCGAGTGGAAGAACCTGGGTTCTAACCCCGGTGGGTGCATACTGCAAAGAGTCCCAAACTAGGACGAAGCAGCTGTACGGTATTCCCAGGTTTCCCAATGGTTTTCTAACCAATGTCTCCTCATAATGAAATCCTGTAATAATGCTATTGTTTGACACAACTATATGAGTATCCTTTGTCTCACTTCAGAAATCTAACACTAATTTAAGCCACTATAGGGAATGAAGTCACTCCTTAAGCAAAATCACCAATGTCCGACGATGATGAATAGCACCAGTTCAGAGGAAATGAAACAATGCTCCCTAGTGGTTGGTGTTATGGTAATTAACTGTCAACTTTATAGAGAAACTACTCATAACACACTTCATAAAAACTGTCTTTCACTGGGGGGGGGACAATGTTTTCGCTTTACACAATTTTAATGCCTCATTGTCTTTTTTCTTAAATAGTCAAAGAGAGCAGACCAATTAACATGAAAAAATGTATAGGTGAGCACAGTTATAAATAAAATCTTGCAAAAAATTTGACGAGAAATCTTTTTACAATTTCGGACGACAAAAAGATGTTATGTTTTAACATATTAAATATAACAATTAATCAGTCAATGACCTCCTCCGAGAGTATTGATACGAATGGAAGTCATCACCGATTGTTAAAAATACCATTTCTCTTGAAATATTAAATTTCAGTAGTTTGGTAATACATGTCTAATTTTTCCCTAGCCATGGGATTGCGGAGCTTGGTTCATTGGTTTAAAAGTCTACGAGTAACCACTGGGTCAAAAGTTCGAACACAATACTCCACCAACCAAGGTTTGGGTAGTCAGGTAATATCAACAGTAGCCCTCATTTCCAAATGCATATAATAGCAAGTGATTATTGTGAGTAACATTTCAGCTCTAAGGTTGATTAAAAGAAGTGAAAACATAACCAATTTATGTTGATAGATCAGCATCTGACACAACTCCCACGAATAAAATATAAATGAAATAGCGTGAAACTCTGCGTCAGTGTAATGCTTTTGGAAGTGTGTGAGCGATTGTTACTTCCTAGTTGGGGGTGGCTGAAACAGAAACATAATTAGTGTTGCGTGACTAAAGAGACTGGGAGACAACTGCTTGAGACTGGTCAAACACCGACTGTTTAAAGTGATTTTCACAGTTGTGTTGGTATTAAGATCTTATGGCCTTCAACGAGCAATGTTAGCTGAAGTAGAATCGAGTTGGAGAAGAACCAGTGGTGGTCAAACCAAAACATAGTCTCATCAGTCAATGAAATCCATAACAGTTAGTTTAAGCCAGCTCCATGTAGCGAGGTGTAGACTTCCTGGTTGAGGTCCTTTGGATGGTAAAAACCAATGGAGGCTGGAGACAAGTCGTGATATTACTCAAAATCATTCTCAATGGATAGTGCAGATGGATTCACTCTTTGTGATCTATCATATCCTATAAAAACTCTATTGTCGTTCCGTGTTATTCCTCTTTTTCCTCATTATTGTCTTCTCTCGTTTTATGTGTGGTAAGTACAAATGCTGCACATCTGCGCAAAGGTGTACAGTCAGTATGGCCAATTATGTGAAGCAACAAGGTGGTAAGTTGAGATGTACAATTTTCGGCATCGACCTTTCCTACCCGTACTCCTCTCCAGAGAGGGACAGGCAGCTTAGCTGGCATGCTACTCATCTAAGGGAAACACCTTACTACTGTTACATCCCCATTCTCTAACAGTATGATTTCGCCAACAGACCCCCACAAAATAGCGTAAACAACTTAAACCATGACGATAACTGTTTTTAGTCTGTCTAATCACTGTTCAAACAATCTTTTGGACCGGCAGGAACATCAGTTCCAGTCAGTGTAGCTCACTGAATCATTACAATATGCAAATCCGACCACTGCATCAAGACAGCAGTTATCGATTGAGTAGTGTCGATGATTCAATGGTAGAATGGTCACTAGCCATGCAAATTTAGTTGAATCTGACTCCCGACCAACGTACTCCTAAACTTAAGCCTAGTTTACAAATCAGAAAAGGGGGGAGTTGAGGTTAGCGACCCCACTCCTTTAAAAATAACAACAACACTACCGCTAATAGAACTTCAAAAGAGCTTGAAGGTTTATGTTCTAGTCTGAAGGCAAGGAATGAAAAAGAAAAAAACAAAGAGGAAATCTTTAAAAATTATACACACAATTATCAACAGACAAAAAGGGGTACCACACACACACATACACACAAAAAAGCACCTACCTGTAATAGTCATTCCTTGTATTTCATGGATAGGAATTGTTGACGTGGTCAACTCTTTAGTAGAAACTTGTGATGATGATTTCGATGATGAGATACCATCATTGTTGATGTTATTAGTATGATTATTATAAGTATTACCATTGTTAGCTCCTGCATTACTATTATTATTATTATCATTGTTATTGACATCATCTTTATTATATGGTGGTATCCCTCTGTATCCTCCTCCTGACAGATTATTACTATATTGATAATGTTCATGATAATAAGTAATTGGATTATTTAATGATGGACTAACATTATGCTTGACTGAATTCACTGCTGTTAACAAATTACGATTTGATGTACGCCATTGTTCATGCATACACGGATTATCAATATTTGTTACTAAGCCTTTAGCATCATTTACCATTGGTGTAATAGCTAGACAAAAGAGAGAGAGACAGAGAAGAGGGGAAAAACAGAAATTAACATCTTCAGTTTTACTCCAAAAAAAATAAACGAAACACAATGGTCCGCTGAAAGCAACCATCGACAAATTCTTCTTATACAAAAGGTATGTTGATGATACTTTCGTCATCTGCGATAACAATTGTGATCAAAATATTGTTCTTCAAGTTTTCAATAGTTGCCACCCCGCCATCAAATTTACAATCGAAGCAGAAACCAAAGAGACAATCTCCTCTTTCTGGACGTTCGTTTAAGTAAGAAGACTGATGGTACCTTGAACAGATCAGTACACAGAAAACCTACATGGAACGGTTAGTTGACAAACTTCTACAGTTGGGTACCAATTAATCGCAAGCGAAACTTGATAATATCTCTGGCGACTAGGATCCGAAAAATCTGCAGTCCTGAATCAATAGAGGAAGAGATCGCCCTCTGAAGGAAGACACTGCTCGGGAATGGCTACGCACCCCGTTTTATAGACAAGCATATTAAGCCTAAGACTTACAAAGAACAACCCATTACAGTGCAGAAGAAGATGGTCTACATGAATGTACCCTTCAAAGGTGACCTTCTGACTGACACCTTGAAGAAGAGGATATCTACTGCTCTCAGAAGGACATTTTTCGCTGCCACACTACGACTGACATTTTCCTCCCGGCCATTGTTCTTCAACTACTCTAAAGATAAACTATCGCATTTGACCACTTCCATGTGTATCTACCAATTCACCTGCTCTTGCGGAGCGAGGTATATAGGTCGTTCGATGCGAGTTTTATCTAAAAGAGTTCAAGAACACTATCCCGCCTGGCTACGGAAAGGTAACAACGGAGCAATAAGGAGCGCCATTATTGAGCATATACTCAACACTGGTCATTCGATTTGCAAAGAGAAGTCGTTCAAAGTCATCTATAAAGTCAAAAGAAGCCTTCCAAAATCGACAAGCTTCCGTATACTTTGTATTGCCGAAGCCTTAGCGATTTGGATAGAAAAGCCTGATTTATGCACACAGAAGAAACTTCTCCACCCCCTCCTACTACCGTGGGTTTAATTTCAAGTTTATCTGTCATCAACATTTTGTTATCAAATTTTTTTTGCAATTTTCGTATAATAATTTTTAGTAACTAACCCATTCAATCTTTTCACCTATTATCTAGTTTATTTTCATAATTGTCTCCATACTCCTTCACTAACATCTAATCTTTCTAAACATGTCTATATTACGTAACCCTACTCACATCTTACCAATCTTCACCCCACTTAGTTACAACTTTGATTATTAATCACACATTTTAATTTCTTAATCATTTTGATGATGTAATCAACAACCCACACTAACTGTTATTTTGATTTTGACAAACCTAATGTACACACACACACACACAAAATAATTGTATATATATTTGCGACTGTACAGCTAAGTGAATGAATTCGCCGAAAAGAGACTCTTCGCTGAACTAATTTGTTCTTATTTCAAAGTCTTAATGGGTATTTTTCGCGAATTAAAAATTTTTTGTTTTTAATGTAATTGATTTCACATCTTTACCCTTCAATCTATACTGGATTGTCAGTGGTATTTGTGACTGTTACGACGGAGTGTTACTGTATTGTATGATATTGAAATCTCTCAGAAAATTAAGCCATAAATAAACCAATCAAAACTATCCAATAAGGTTATCATGTCAGTCAGTGTACATGCATAAATCATGACTTTATGGTTAATTAAGAAGCTTGTCGGTTATAACAGCAACATGATGTCATTGATTGGTTGATTGATTAATGAACCATATACTCTCAATGTAAATTTCGTCAATCAATAAAAACCCCAATGAAAACACCAGGGAGCGCCAGAAAACTGTATCAGCCTATTTTCGGACTCTTCAGTAGTGTGTATCACCAAAGTTCGAACTCAGGACATTTCTGTTGCAAGGTAAGCTCGTTGAATATTTTCCACCCACTGGGTTGGAATTCAAACGACTCATTAATTCTAACTTCTGTCAATTTCTGATAATGTGTTACCCGTCAACTAATGTTATCAATGGGCAGCCGCTTCGATCTGACATTTATCCAGCAGCCATTAATAAGCTGGAGACAGATACACAAAGTATCACGGAAAAATGACTCCCAACTATTGTGTAAACCTCTCAAGTCTGTGTGGAAGTCAACAGCACTCCGCATGAAAGATAAGATCCAGATTTTTAACTTCAATGTGAAGACACTGCTACTATACAGATCAGAGACTTGGCGCGTCACGAAGGGTACTTCAAACAAACTACAAACCTTCATCAACAGCTGTCTTCGCTCAATACTACTCAAGATCAGATGGCTGGCCAGCAACAGGGATCTCTGGCAATGAACGAACCAACCCAGCAGGAACCGATTGTACAACAAATATGCAGGAAGAAATGGAGGTGGATTGGTCATACTCTGAGAAAACAAATCATCAAGTGACATCACACGCCAGGCTATCACTCGAGTGGAACCCGAATGGGAATCGGCGAGTTGGTCGTCAGTGGGAGGGTGACATGGAGGAGGGGAGGAGGTCATGTGAAGAGGAGATGAAAGCATGTGGGCAGACGTGGAGCCAGGTGAAAACGTTGGCAGAGAACCAAACGCAGTTGAGACGTGAGGCTGAAGCCTTATGTTCCTCTAGGAATTAAAGGAATAATAATCTATATAATTCTATATTTTCTACATCATAAGAAAACATTATTGATCCACTAACTTTAGAATGTTTAATAATCATTTCAATTCATATATAAGAAGTCCTGAATTAGTCAACAATGCATCGTCTACAGCTTAATCTGAAAAAATGTAACTTTACGTAGATTAAAGCCCAGGCTACCAAAAGCTGCGGGAGTAAAGAATTTACTATTGGTATGTGAATGCCTTCCTCAAACCTAACATTAGTCACAATAGTGTAGGTAAATACCACGTTCGCAATCTTGGCAGGTGCAATCCTAAACGTCGCTTTGATGCTGGTAAGCTCAGCAAAGAGAGAAGGCCGCGTGTGAGGCGGCCGTGAAAACGAAACCGCCACCAATGAAACTTCAAAGCTTAGAGACTGAGGTCTTGTGAGTTCCCATTGGGAACGCAAAGGAATAGAAATTAGCAAAATGTATTTCTCAAATTTATTTCAGTGCAAAAGAGGTAGGAGGATTATGCGGTTCTCATGTTTTGCATTTCATTCAAGCTCCAGTGAAAATTGAACCACATAAGAATAGAAAGTAATATAACAACATTGGTGCATGCTGCTGACAAGCCTTTTTAAGTAGTATATCACATGTATGATGTCTTCTTTAGGAATACCGGATAGTGGAGTAAAGTATTAAATAGAGAATTGGGAGATATGTAAGATCCGTATGAAGCAATACACTGAAACAATGAAAGGAAGACAGAAGTGGCGCATTTCTCCTATAAGCATTTCTATTATTAAATAGTACCTTCTTCTGCCTTACGATGAGAGATATGAGTCCTGCCAAGTTCCTTTATCTTCAGTTTCCAGTAATACATCATATTATAGGAAGTTGTCAACGTTAACACCTGACTTGTTCCTTAAAGGAGACAAGCATGCGGTACATACATGCACACATACAATATATATTCCATTCGAATGAGTTTCCAAAAGCACGAAGCCGACGAATTGAATTTTCCTTTCTCTAATTCAAAACACTGTATTTCAAACCGAAATTTTCATTGTATGCCTTCACCAGATACAGGCAATACTATTAAGACAACAGAGAATTGACAACCCAAACAGAAACCTCATTTATTTAAAAAGTAAGTGATTCAGTTTTTGTAAGCCGTTAACTATGAATGAGGGAATTGCTGCACTATACTCTTTCGTCTTGGGGGAGTGAGAAGACAGGAATACGCTGGACTACCGATAAGAAGACTCTAGAAGGTCTGAACTTCGTAGATGATTTATGTCTAATGTCACACAAACTTGAAGACTTACAGACAGGCGAAAACCAAATAAAATTGCTGAAGAAGCAGTCAGTGAAGACAGGACTGCAGGTGAGCATAGAGAAGACGGAGGTGATGAAGATAACCGACCCACCACCAGCAGCAACAACAACAAACAGTACCATTCATCATCAATGGGAAAGATTTGGCAGAGGTTACTTCCTGCCTTCACTTATCTAGGAAGCATCATTTCAACCACAGGTTGTGGTGAGAGCTGTCTACTAGCCAAATTGGTAGACAGTAACTTACGTCAATATTTACGTTATCAAGATTTGCCGTGAGAAAATGTGAACACAGACTGATTCAAAACCGACCACAGCAGACTTTGCGTAGGCGGATGCAGTTAACATATAGAGGATTTGACATTCAAGGAACAGTGACAAATAGATGAAAGATTAACTTTACGTGAGAAACAACCGATCGGAAGACTGTGTTTGTTTGCTTAAATATCCATAGTAATGTATATGAAAATATATAAATACGCTTTGATTTCCTTAATAAATGATCTGTTGCCTGACTCTTGCCTTCTGTCGTTACAAGGTGACAGCACGGATGAAGATGTCAAAGCCAGCCAGCCAGAATCGGAAAGGCAAGATACAGCTCCACCAACCTGAAACCAGTTTTTAAATCTTCTGCACTCCGCCTCAGCATAAACAACAAGATTCGAATTTTCAACGCAGATGTGGAGTCAGGTCTTTTATATGGGTCAGAAACCTGCACTGTAGGTGAGTCACGAAAAAGATTTCGAACAAGCTACAGACTTTTATAAACAGCTGCCCGCTTCGCTGACTCCACACTGAAGATCAAATAGCCAGAAAGAATCAGCGACAAGAAACTATGGGAAAATTAACCAAGAACCCATAGCTCAACAAATATGTAGAAGACAAGGGAGATGGATCGGGCACACGTTGAGGAGGCCGTCGAATGACATCGCTTGAGTGGAATCCTAAAGGTGTGTAACAGCAGAATACGGCTCTATTTGGTAGGGGAATCGTTCATTGGCTATTTAA